GTTAAACAACGTAGAATGAAATTTCTAGGATACCCATTCCGTGTAAACATTTCGAGCAGATAATCTTCCTCCGCTTTCCTCAGCTGCGGGGTGCTGCAATGTGTCTGCGCTCTTTTAAATAGAGTAGTTACGCAGCTGCGCTTGTAGACTGTTGGCTGATTGCTGCGATACTTCAAGATTTGGTCTGTATCCGTCGCTTTCCGATAAACTGTTGTCTCCAGTTGTCCAGCATCATGTCATTTTACTAACACATCCAAGAATGGTAGCTGACCATTGCTCTCCTCTTCTTTAGTGAAACGGATACCAGCAAACGTGTTGTTTATTAGCTGCGTTTCTTCTAGCTTCGAACGCTTTAGGATGACAAAAGTATCGTCCACGTAGCGTAGCCAGAGTTTTGGTTTTGCTACCGGGAGTGTGGTTTCCTCCAAAGTTTGCATCACCGCCTCGGCCACTAATCCAGATATCGGTGAACCCATTGTCGTGCCTGTTATTTGCTCGTAGGTTTGGCCGTTGAAACTGAAGTGTGTTGTGAGGCATAAATCCAACAACTCCATCATGTGGATGGCATCTATTTTATTGTTCGCGTCTGAGAATCCGCGTTGGTCTAGTAGTGTTGCCATCGTTTGCCTCGCCAGCTTGGTGTTGATTGAAGTGAACAAAGCTGTTACATCAAAGGAAACCATGATTTCGTCCTCTTCTATTACTGTTTCCCTGATTTGTTACACTTTTGCTGTTGTTATGTTGATGCTATGTTAACCCTGATGCGCCCTTATTTCCGTTGTTTTTCGTTTATGTGTGATCATCACTTAGTAGATGGCCCCAATTTCATTTTCACTAAGGCTCCACCGTGCCAGCGTGACCCCGTCACACACACGAAACCTGCGAACTAGATCGTATTTAGCCCTCTCACCTTCAGGTTGACTGACAGTTTGCTTCGTCTTTCTTTGTACCTTCGTCGCCATGGTTTTGTGTATGTGTACATTCACAAGTTTCACTTTATGGGCGTTATTTTCACCCTTGGCTGTCCCAACTTCTTTAAACATGTGATTCACAGTGTCGCCTCGCTACTCTGGTCGCGACGCGTGCCTGTCCCGCTGTGAGCGTGCTACTCATCTCTTTGTGCGCTGGTTTTCTCAATTCAGTTTATCTTTGGTCACCATCTAACGTAACAAAAAGCGGACGGGAACTTCTGCCAAAACACACTACTACTACTACGCAGCATTCGGTTTTCGATTGCGCGTATCCACAACTGGTCGATGCGACACGCATTCCTCTCCGTTTAGCGTTGCTAAATAGAGATGCACGCCGTGGCATTTGCATTTCGATCAACCTTTCTGCTGGAAAATAGGAACTGCGTGTGTGTTGTGGCAACAAACTTGTCACTTAATATGGTTTGTTTTGTGCCTACGATGTGGGTTATAGTGGTGTACATTTACCGCCAATTGTCCTTGGACTGTGGCCGCCAATCCGGGCCGTTCTACTGTGTGTGGGATGCAATTTCCACCTATTTGATCCTAAGGAACAGTGTCCACAGCTACGTTTCAATCCTCCATTTTGACAACTAACAAGCTGCATAGTGTCACAGTTAACCACTCGGGTGGGTACACCAAATGCCACTTGGAACTCTTTACCGCTGTGCCAAGCGTTGCTCGCGGACCTAGGACCCATAGTGATCAAGGCGTCAACCTTTGAACACTACGCCTCGAGGTCCAACCCAGCACAGGCTATCTCCATCTGATGAGTCCAAAGGAGGACGAAACTGGTTATGGGGGGTCAGGGTCGGGTGGAGCAACACCGAACCACCAATCGGAATACAGTCTTTGTGATCATAATGACGGAGGTCTACCTCAAAGAGGACCGAGGTCTGAATAGAGATTGCGAGTCGCAATCCAACCACACAGCGCGTACACCAAATGCCATTTGGAGTCTGATTCTTTCTGTGATGTATCATCGACTCAAACCAATGAGCTTCTTGTACTCTTTAGTGAATACACCGTCCGACAACATCGCTCAGACGTGATCTAGACGATACCTACGCTCCAGTTGGCACATAGGGCGTAGTTGTCACTCACTAGTTTCTCAACAAACTCCTCGCGCCACAATCATCTGCCAATTTCACTACTAACTCCGGTCTTTCTACACGCTAACCATGTGTGCATTTCGAACCGAAACACTCGAGTGTAAGAATGCGTCATTTCATAGAGCAAAATTGCTGGAACCAGTTCGTAAACTCCTGGCCACATATTGTTTGAAGGACTCATTCGAGTTCGTCGGGACTCTAGGCCATACGTCTCTGCATACAGAACGCATGTACTCGGTAGATGTGGACTCACTTTGCGCAAAACGTACCCTTGTGCGAAACTGTTGACGAATTATGCACTTTCATTTTGAGTCAAAAACCTATCTGTTGGTCTTCTTCCTGAGTACCTCAGTGATCTGATATTAACATACACAAAAAATGTTCCGTTTGAATTCGAAGGATCCGCATGCAGGCAAGTCGGATGGCGTTGCAGTGGGAAACCCAGTTTTGGCAGACATATTCTTGGGACTGATTGAGAGGAAGATCGCTAACATTATTAGTGAAGCTAAGCTGTATAAACGGTACGTGGATGCCAAAATAATCTTCACCATCAAGGAGCGCTTTAACCGAATGGTCACCCTGTTGAATTCGACTCATCCTAATCTTTCCTTGTCGTATGAGAGGAAACAGTAAGATAGCCTGCCGTTGTAGACATTCTCATCAAAAGGCGAGCCGGAGGTATACTCCAACACACTGTCTACCGTAAAGCAACTTGGAGTGGGCAATACATGCATTTCACCAGCTTCGCACCGGTTGCATACCAACGCGCTCTCGTCAGAGCCCTTTACTACAGACCCAAGCGAATTTGCAGTCCAGAGATGCTGCAGAGTGAAGAAGAGTTCCTATATAGGACTTTTGTCAAACGGCTGTCCGGAGAAATTTATTCAGTTACACAGTAGACCCATCAAAGGGATGCTACCAGTACAAACGATGGAGAAAAAAGTTTGTTTATTTCGACCGTTCAAAGGGACAATGCTTCAAATGAAATTGGTCATAAACTTTGGTCTGCTGTAACATGCACTTATACCACCGCGTGTCTACGGATCCTTCACAACACAAGGAGACTGGGGCTCAACTACCCTCCGAACAGTTCGTCAGTCGGTTGGGCCACTCATTATGTACCAGTTCACCTGCAGTTACGGTGACATCTATGAAGGCAGGACCAACCGACGACTGGCCCAAAAGGTGGCTGAGCATTTCCCAAAGTGGTTGAAGCAATCCATGGTACAGCATGGAGTGAAGGATCAACTAGAGAGCCGGAACCCCACCTAATCTATTACAAAGCGCCTCGTGATGACAGGCCATCATGTGGATACATCGAAGGCCTTCAAAGTGCTATTGATCAACCGCAACTCGAAAATGCTGGCAATCAGTGAGGCATTATTGATTGTGGTAAACCGGCCGGTACTGTGCGCCCAAAAGCAACTGAGGCAGTCTGTCAGATTGCGTTGGTCTTGAGTGCCCAACTTTGATGTATCCGTATCATTTCGTTCCACATGCACATACGTTCATTTTTTTACCCAAATGTATTACGTGTGCGACTGATGCGAGTAACCGAATTGTTAACATATCACAACCTTTGTCTTCTGTCTGCGTTGATCAAATGGGTAGAGGGGACACAACGTTTCACGTTTCTCACAAGATAAATGGCAAGAGGGAGCCGCGTAAATGACAAATGGACCTAGTATTCACCACCTCTATAACATGAGGCACGAGCATTATCAAGACTGTGTGTCTACCATGGTAGGTAAATCACTGGAATTCTCGTGCTAAGCCTGCTTGGTACGGGTAATGGTGGTGAAAGATAACCAATCTCGGAATTTGTTAAACTCTTTGCGTTTGCGTTCTCCATCCGCATGATGATGGGGAAAAGTTGTTAACCAGGCTTCTTCGTGAGTAACTGAGGCGTAAAAACGACAAGTGTCTTTCCGAGACGCAACATTCTCATCGCCATGTGAAACGAATAGCCCAATTTTGTGTTGTTGCAGTTAAATCTGTGTGGTTTGATGTCTACGTCACTATTTGAACTTTTTCTAAAAGGGTAGCTACTCGGTGGCCGATTTGTAGTCTCCACAAATCACTTTGGGGCTGCATAGTACGGAGTACCTCATGGTGGTCGCGCGTGGAAGCGCCATTGTGTTCACCTGACATCCTGCTTCCTTGTGAATCTTGTCGTTTCTCCTTTCTTTGGGCACTTGGTTAGTTTAAATCTTAACCCGCTCGATGCTGGAACTCAAGCTTTTCCATATACTTGCACTAAACACCTTCAAAGTTTATGTGCCCAAGTACCACAACGCTCTCTCGCTCGAAAACCGTACGCTTTCTGGGGTTTTCTCCACAGTAGAATTGTACACCCTACAAATCGGTTGTTGCCTTTTCATTGAACATCATCGTAACTTTCTCTGTTTCGGATATATAAGTTTTGTAAAGATATTTCGACAACTATTTTGTCCAAAGTATTTCCAAAGTCACTAGGACTGTCTAACTCATCAGACATATTTTGTTGCTTTTGGTCACGGACTTTTGGGCCAATTGAATCTAGGAAATGTCTTCACAAAACTCTACTCTGATGGTTGGAAAAACACCCGATGATTCGGTTTGTCACTTGGCACTCAGTGCACAAGAATGCGGGTCCTTTTGCCACACCATTGCACACTTTTCCCTTCCTTTTATCCATTTATAAAATTTTTTCATCCACACTTGATACTGTAAAGTGCTGTAAATATGCCTATCTGGATATATAAACCTTGACCCGCGCCACATACAAAGCGATTGTCTCCTTATATTTGTTTCTAATTCAGTCCTGTGCATGGGATTTTTCATTTGCTTTCGGTTGCAATTCTTCGCTGAGACGATCGTACTTTCTCCAGGTTGCTTTCAAGTAATTTCCATTCTCACTCCCCCGATCCACCACCACCAGCTCTGGGATATTCGAGACGGACAATGCAAGCAAACGTTTCCGGGGCATGAATCCGATATCAATGCCATCATTTTCTTTCCCAGCGGAATGGCATTTGCCACTGGCAGTGATGATGCCACGTGTCGCCTGTTCGATATTCGTGCCGATCAAGAAATTGGAATGTTCAGTCATGATAATATCATTTGTGGTATAACGAGTGTGGCGTTCAGCAAGAGCGGGCGCCTTTTGTTGGGCGGTTACGATGACTTCAACTGCAACATTTGGGACACACTCAAACAAGAACGAGCCGGTTAGTTATTCTTCTTCTAGTATCCTTACCTTATATGAAGCATTCTGCATGCGGATAACAAACCGCCGGCTCTTCATACTCTTAAATAAAATGTTGATGCACGACACCTTCAGACAATCGATGGTAGTTTTCGAGGTTTTGTATTTCACTTGCGAACCACCGAGTTGGAGAGTACATCTTCTTTCTTTCTTTCCCATCTTCAGGTATTCTGGCCGGTCATGACAATCGCGTTAGTTGTCTCGGTGTTTCAGAAGACGGAATGGCAGTTTGCACTGGCTCTTGGGATAGCTTCTTGCGAATCTGGAACTGAGTGGTTCTTAGGGCAACAAGACAGCGCTACTGCGCAATCAACCCGCTTGTTTTTATCACGATCTTGTTGACTTAGCGACAAAAGCGCTGATCTATTTGTTCTTTGTGATATCCTCCGCACCTTACTTACGGTGCACGTATTGTGCGGACACTCGCTTGCTCCCCCGGGCCACCACCATCTCATCTACTCCAACAGCACAGTATCGATGATTGCGACACACAATATCCAACGCTCTTCAGCGATTACTTCAATTCACACCTAACCAATGGTGTGGTGCTCTTTGATTGTAAAATGCTATTCTCGTCAGCGTCTCCCTATCTCCATTTGCGCTTCTTCCTTGTGTGTTCATGTCACGGACTACGATCAGGTTAATCCATCCTTGGGCGTCCACCGCTAATTATTTTCTATTCACCTTTTCCGTGATCTATTCAGTTTTCTCCCCTACTTTACCGTCAACAAACTGATTTTTTTCCTTTCCTTCCTGTGCTTATTGGATTACTTAAGATTCCACCCTCGACGTCCACGGCTAATATCTTGTCTCACAACCCATCTTTTGTGTGTGTGTGCGTCGGTACATGCATTCTATCTTGGCATGCCTGTACCACCACACTTATGGAACTGCCTTTTCTCACCGACACTGTTCCCAGTCGGTTCGCATTTAAACACCCACCTTGCCGTGTTTCCTTCTCGACCTTCTATCCTCCGTTCCCTACCGTCTCTTTGAAGCGGTGATCTTGTTTAATCATGTGGCTCTTTGGTCCGGTTGATTTTGATTTTTATGCACCTACTACTGACTCGCAGTGAATGACAATGCTGCGTACACAATTTCACGACGTTTCTCCCCCGCTTTATGATTCTGTTATTTCACGCTGCATGACTCCTCCGAGCATTTCGTCAACGTCGTGTTAATTTATTTGTTTCTCAACGCTTGCACACATGACGACCTCCCGCAAATCCTCGCACAAGCTTGAGCTTACTTCTCTTCTACCTGGCTTACTATACTGGGTCTACAGTTGACTGTTTAATGACACCCCTCCCTTTCGGATACACGGAGGCAAACCACTGGAGTACGTGGTGGAAGGGCGCACCACTAGGTCTCTTTCCATTCGCTAATTTCTTTTGTCGCGTGTCTCCATGCAATACACCCCACCCTTTGAGATTTCAGTTCACTGTTATCGTGGTTCGGTGAGAGTAAAGAGCACTGTTTGTAAAACAAATGTCGAATCTCAAAAGCTTGGCACTCACAACTTTCTAGTCCCCCCTCCCGCCCCGATCTCACTGACTCTGTTCATGTATTCGGTACGAGTTGCCCCTCCTCTACCCATCATATTCCACATTTTCTCTCTTGTTCGTATCATCGTCATTAGTAGTACACTTGTTCGTTGCACTGTCTTCTTCTGTATTTTGTTTTCAAACAATATTTGCCATCTCCAAGTGCTAGGACTACTGTTCATTTACTTCTCATCATTTTCGACACTTGTACTACAATCGTTTTGCGACAGTGCACGGCGTCCGCACTCTCTAAACAGCACTTCCATGTGGTCTACAGTGCCCGCTTTAAGCTCAACCGCTCATGTTGGCTATGTCATGTCTTCCGGATACCCATTGACCGGCTTCCTTGGCGTACATTATGCACCGAGGTAGCCAGTCAATGAGGTGTCAGAAAAGTATCAAGAAGTTCTTAGTGAAGACTGAAAGGAAGGGGGAATCTGGACAATAAAAAGATATTGAATAAAAAATTTCGATGAAAATCCTATTGAAACATCAAAGGAATATAGGTCATTGGTGAAATTACAACTCATCAGAGGTACAGTTAAGGTTCACATGTAACCTCGGTGATAGAATATACCACATATGAATCTTTACAATATATATATATATATATGATGCATTCTTGATGCTTCTTCACCGCAGTTAGGCGAAACCAACTTACACTTAAACTAGTTCTTTTTAAGCTGAATAACTTTCATTCCACTTTATTTGGTTTGTTCTGCCCACCTGAATGGTTGGCGGCATCCGGTTTCCGATTTGCCTGTCACTGTGGCCAGTCACAGGACGCCTGCGTCTACGGAGGGACCATGGGTGGCTTGCGCTGTACCACCCACAGCTCCAACCACACACCCATATCCGGTTTAAACCCTAGGGAATAAGATCGGGAGGCATGTGGATGGGAGCCACGTTTCATCAATGGAACCGGCCCACACTCCTTTACAGGCAAAAACAAGCACGTTGGATTTGGGGAATCAAGCGCGCACAAGGCGGTGGCTGGACCGTAGTCCGCTCCACATTGAGTGCATGGAACCGCTCTTCGAGCCTAGCACGGCCACAATGACCGTGCACCCCGTCCTCTCCAGCAACGACCAACTGTCTCCTAGAGCCAGTATGGACGAGGTAGTGGGTAATAGACAGGTAGGCACCTTGTCAACATGCACATCAAGCGAGTCAAACCTGGGATGTCAAACAACAGCCAATCATTAAAAATGCCGATATCAAATAAAAGATATCGAATAAAGTAAACGTATATGACGACATAAATACTCGCTTAATCAGCGTTTGCAGTAAATTGGTTATAAGCGAATCCGCGATAAGTACAAAATGCCCGAAAGCTAGTTAAAAATTACTACTTGATAAAGTTACACTAGGTTAACACAATTTGCATGGGTGACGTGTGCAAGTTAGGAGAAGATTATCAAGTACGCAGAACAAACCAACTAAAGTGGAATGAATTGTATCCACATTAAAAAGACCTAGTTTACGTGTAATCTGGTTTAACCCAACTGTGGTAAAGATGCAACATCAGCCCACCTGAATAATTTTCTATTAACATACACACGCTGCTTATGCTAATTATGGTTATCGTCGTTAACTTGATTGCGTTTGTAGCATTTTTACATAACTTGTGGACATTTTCTACTTATCGCGTATTCCTTGCTAACCAACTTACTTCATTTACTAATTTAGCCAAGGGTTATATCTTCGCCGTGATCGTGAATCCTGATGGTCTAAACAGGTCAAGGAAACGGAAGTTGCTGCCTCTGCTGGTAATAGCCGCAGGCTGTTTTATCTCATCAGATCCACCGGACGCAAAGTTCAGGCCATCAGTCAGACCATCTGTGAGTCAGACGGTACAAAGATCACCAACCTACGCAGACGCTTGGATCGCTGGGCAGAGCAATTTGCTCTGCTGTTTAATTGCCCACCACAACCTCCGGTTACACATCCAGTGCCATCATGTGATCCTTGAGCAGTCTGCATAGATTCTCCCACTGAAGCAGAAATACATCGAGAAATCCAGACTCTGAAACGCCACAATGCTCCTGGCCTTGACAGTCTACCTCCGGACTTATTCAAATTTGGGGGAACTTAGTTGTCACTGAAATTCGATCACTGTTCACAAAGGTATGAAGCGATGAGAAGGTTCTTAACTCATGAGGAGAATCTGTTGTGGTTCCGATCCACAAGTAGGGCTCTTGTAGTGAAGGCACCAACTACCGAGGAATCTCACTTATCTCTGTCGTGTCCAAGCTCTTTGTGTCCATTCTGGTACGTAGGCTCTCAGTTATCCGCGAGAGTTTGTGTCGTGAGGAACAGACTGGCTTTCGTTCTTGCCGTGGTTGCATTGACCAGATTTTCACGTTGCGTCGAATTCTCGAACATCGTCATGTTCACCGAAGACCAACAATAGTGATGTTTTTGGATATCCGAGCCGCTTTTGATTCAGTAGATAGGTCGTCACTGTGGAACCGTCTGCTACGGAACGGCGTTCCCGACAAGTTTGTCATACTCTTGAAAAAGCAGTATACTCAAACGTCTGGCAAAGTTAGAGCTTATGGATGGTTTTCTTCTTCCTTTCCCTTTACCAGTGGAGTGCGCCAAAGTTGTCCCATCTCACCGTTCCTGTTCAACTTTGCCATTGAAGATGTCCTACATCGCGCAATGGAAGGAGCCCAGAGCTACAGCGTTGAGCTTATACCCGGGAGTTGAGTCGTGGACCTGGACTATGATGATGACATCGCTTTGCTGGGGGATGACTCGCAGGTTGTTCAAAACATTCTGAACCGCTTAGCGATAGACGCATCTAACTACGGTCTGTAGTTTGCTCCATCCAAGTGTAAAGCTTTGCTCCAGCATTGGCAGGCTCCTGTGCCTACGCTTACCATTTCGGGTGTCAGCCTGGAGCTCGTTAACGGCTTTACTTACCTCGGGAGCTGCGTCACGGCTGGTGGCGGTATTGACGTTGAAATTTCACAACGAATTGCCAAAGCTCGCCTTTCATTTACTAACTTGAGACACTTGTGGCACCGTCACAATGTCAGTCTCAAGCTCAAAGACCGAGTGTACAATGCCACAGTCCGTGCTGTCCTACTGTACGGCTGCGAGACCTGGCCTGTTCAATCGGACGATTTGAGACGACTGTCTATTTTCGACAACCGCTGTTTGCGTTCGCTCACTCGCGTATGGTGGCATCATCTTGTGAGCAACACGAAAGTTAGAAGCAGAATCTTGGGAGCGGACAGTCTTGGTCTCCAGAGCATAATTATGCAGCACCAATTGCTTTGGCTTGGTCACGTACTGCGCATGCCGGCCCACCGCCTTCCACGTCGCGCATTATTTGCACTTCCTGGACGCCAATGGAAAAAGAGCCGCGGCGAACAACCGATGACTTGGAAAAGGAGTATGAAGATCCTAACTTCGTGTCTAGCGTCAGTTGAATCTGTGCGTCACACAGGCTGGGGACCACTTGAAGCGGATTCCCAATGGTTGGAAGTCTTGGAGCATATGACCCGAAATAGGTGTCACTGGCGTCAATGCTGTTCTGTCATCTCTTCATCCTGTGGTTTTTAATGTGGAACAAAACATGAAAACAGAAAAATCTCGAAACGGCATGTGCGAAACTGAAAAAAGACATTTTTCTAACGTTTTCTCTCTCTCCTCGTTGAACATTACATTCTGCTTTCCATACCACCATAGTTCGGATGGCATATTTGTCTGTTTACAGGCTTGTGAATAAGTAATAATAACCATGCCCCCCATGCTGAGGCTGATGTTTCCTTCATGGTGCTTCTTCACCGCGGTATGGTAAACCAACTTACACTTAAACTAGTTATTTTTATGCTCTATAACTTTCATTTCACTTTATTTGGTTTGTTCTGCGTACCAGATGATCTCCTCATTGCTTGCACATGTCGCTCATGCTAATTGTGGTAAACTTGCGTAACTTTATCACGTAGTAATTTTTAACTAACTTTCGGACATTTTGTACTTATCACGGACTCGCTTATAACCAATTTCTTCTATGTGCTCATTTAGCGAGTATTTACTTCGTCATATACGTTGTCTTTATTCGAGATCTTTTATTTCATGTCGGCATTTCGGATTATTGGTTGTTGTTTGACATTCCAGTTGTGGCTACGCTTGATGTGCATGTTGACAATGTGCCTACCTGTCTTCTATCCCCTACCTCATCCATACTGACTCAGGAGACAGTTGGTCGTTGCTGGAGGGGACGGGGTGCACGGTCTTCGCGGCGGTGCTAGGCTGGAAGAATGGTTCCATGCACTCAGTGGACCACAGTCCAGCCACCGCCTTGTGTGCGCTTGATTCCCAAATACAGCGTGCCTGTGTTTGTCTGTGAAGGAGTGTGAGCCGGCTCCGTGGATAAAAGCTGGCTCCCATCCACATGCTTCCCGGTCTTATTCCTTCGGATTTATACTGGATATGGGTGTGTGGTTGGAGCTGTGGGTGGTGCAGCGGAAGCCACCCATGATCCCTCTATAGGCGCAGGCGTCCTGTGGCCTTTCCCGTTGAGGCCGTCGTGACAGCCAAATCCGGATCATATGCTGCCAACCACGCATACACAAACAAGCGTGTATATATATATATATATATATATATATATATATATATATATATATATATATATATATATATATATAGTTGGCAGCATCCGGTTTCGGATTTGCCTTTCACTGTGGCCAGCCACAGGACGCCTGTACCTACAGAGGGACCATGGGTAACTTGCGCTGCACCACCCACAGCTCCAACCACACACCCCATATCCAGTGTAAATCCGAAGGAATAAGACCGGGAGGCATGTGGATGGGAGCCACGTTTCATCCATGGAGCCGGCTCACATTCCTTCACAGGCAAAAACAAGCACGCTGTATTTGGGAATCAAGCGCACACCCAAGGCGGTGGCTGGACCGTAGTCCATTCCACACTGAGTGCGTTGAACCACTCTTTGATCCTAACACGGCCACAAGGACCGTGCACCCCGTCCCCTCCAGCAACTACCAGTTGCCTCCTGGAGCCCGTATGGACGAAGTAGTGGGTAATTGTAATTGACAAGTAGGCACCTTGTCAACATGCACATCAAGCGCAGCCAC